AGGCCTGCAGTTTATCCTTCATCTGATACAAGCACATTCAAATAAAATGGCAGAAAACTTGGAATAAATGAATGAGAATACTTTTTCTGTATCAGGTTTGAGGAGAAACACGATGAGAGTCCCTTCTCACCTGCTCTATTTGTTTGATCCAGACTTTCATGCAGGCCTCTATCTTCTCTATGGTCTCTGTGCTGCTGGCAGCTGCCACGTAGTCAGACGGGCCCTTCAGTACCCTCAAGTCAAAGGTGTCGCACTCTTTCAAGGTAACCTGAAAGCAAAGTTGTGCTGTGTTGCTTTATTTGCTACTATAATGTAAGTGTATGTAATGTTTAAACTGTGTTTATTTATCTATGTTAATCTAACCTACTATGTATTTTATATTTAACTTTTTATATTAAACTATAAGTTTTTGGTAATATGGTGCTTTTATTAGTGACATTGTCTGTCCCCTACCTTTTCCTGAAGGCTCTCCTGTGCTCCAGCCAACACAGACACAAAGCTTTCCAATGAAGATATGAAGTCCTGTTTGACGACCAGGGTCTGAGGACTTGTCCCCTCTCCCCAGCCGTGGTTCATCTTCCTCAGTGTGGGAATGAAGATCTCAGAGAGCAGCTGCTCCACACTTTTTAAAAGACCACCTTCTGTTGTATCCAACATATTGAAATTTACATCCTAGAAAATAGTAAAAAAAAAGATAATGAAAATCTTAGCATTCATATATTAAATATATATTAAATACATATATATTCTTAGCTTACTAGTTGGCAAAGAAAACCTTTTGTCGTTTGGCAGAAGTCTCCCTGGGTTACTGTAGTGTAGACACTATAATGAACCAACTATGCATGTGTCCTCAAGTGAGTCTGGGAAGCTATTAAAAATCTGCTGTAATACTTTGAAAAAGCATTTAAAAAAAGTTACTATACTGCTAGCAAAACAGACATAATGTTTACCAATCATAGTTATAATATTACATTTGTTAGATTAGATTAGTTTGTGTGGTTGTACTGTATCACATCTGATAAGAGAGAACCAGCACATATGTGACTAAATTAAAAATGTACAACTCCCTTTTAAATGATTGTCAGATGTTATTGTGGTTTTCTAAGGGTTTAATCACAGGACCATCCATGGGTCTCAAAGGCCTACTTATGATTTTTGAACCAAGTGTTATAAACGTCATGATATAAATTCCAATAATATTTATAAATCAGCTATAACTTTAACATAACCGTTTGGGTCATGCTGACGGACTGGTTTTCAAATGAATTAAAAAATATGATTATTAAACATTGTTAATAATAATCATTAATCATTTATTACTGTGCTATACTACTTTAAACCTTCAAAGGTGTGGCACAGTCATCTAGAGAATACAATGTATCCACTAACCCCATGGCTGCTAGTTAACTGACTTGATTTTAATTAACTAGCAACTCACCAGTCCTCATGAACAATTTGCCAGCAACACATAATTGTGAATCTTTGGTGAACAGCTTCTCTCAGCCATGAGCTGGACACTTCCCTTTTAATAATAACTCCTCTAACTTAATCCACCCAAATGTCAAGTAACAGCCGAACACCTGATGTGCCCTTGAATATTTTTGAAGCGACTAATTAGGAAATTTAGCAAGAGAAGTACACACCAGTGCTTTCTCTCATTCTCATTACATGAATACACAGACACACACATACACACAGAATCCTGTTTTCCTCTGTCTCTAGCCGAGGGTGTTTTGTAGCAAACAGGACCTGTTATCAGCGGTGGTGATTAACTTTGCTGCAGACAGCAGGTGTTCAGTAGGAATCAATAGCCAGAACCAGCTGTGCTATCACAGTGCCATTACTGAGCTCCCCCAGTGCCTCACTGCCTCTGGGTGTAAGAAGCTTTTTTTTAGTTAATTGGATATCATGCATGATAAGAACAAGTAAAATAAAAAAAAAATCGGAACATTTGTCTTGTGACACTCAGTGCCTATCATTAATTACGTTTCACAAATTGATAAAAGTTGACTTCCAGTAGTGCTCACAAACACAACACAGTCATGGTTAAATTTGTGTTTCTCCACTTGCATGGTTTTAATTGACTTTAAATCCCTCCTCTCAAACTTAGATATCCCAAAACAATACAAACTGACTCACTCTGTGTATGTTCTCAGAGGTGACTGCCTTTGAAGTATTGGCTCTGGTGAAAAAGACACACACTCCGGTCAGTGCCACATCCCTCCCATCTGTTACAAACACTTTGGACTTCTTGCTGTGACCAGGCTGCTGGGCAACAGGCTGGGCGGGCATAGAGGCTGTAGCTGCTGGTGCTGCTGCTGCTCGCAGAAAGGATTGGAAACAACAAAAGGTGTCATGGTAACCAACTTTGACTTCCTATTGTGATTTTAATACTGTGGCATTTACTTGAGAATGGATTACTTTTATGATCTCTATTAGTGACAGAGACAATTTCATATAAGATAGACGTAGAGCTGCTGTACCGCAAAGTTACACAATATAACTTACACACACTTTTTTTTATAAGACCAGATTGTCATGGTACCTGCTACAGTTGGTTCAGTGTCCTGATAGTAGAACATTAGGTGTGGAAGACCGTCAGCCATGAAAAATTGCTCCATGCGGTCAATCTGACAAAGATGAAAACAAAACCTCAGCACTGTTCAGTCCCATTGTAGATGCACCACATTTTTTTTGTTTGCTTGTTTCTGTCTTTTAAGACCTGTAAAGTTGTCCAATAAAACAATATAATCTGTTTGAACATTTACGTGCAAAGTACCTGATTGCCCTCCAATATGGCATCTTCCACATCTGCTTTCTCCAGCCCCAAGCATGAAGCCACAATACTGAGGATATAGTCATGTCTTCCATCCAGCTGAGCCCGCTTTGCTTCACGCTCCTCTTTCAACTTTTGCTGAAAAAAGTTCCAAAATTTTCAATTACTAAATACCGAGTTCAATTCAATAAAAATGTAACCTGTGTAATTTTTCAAAGTATTTTAAATGGACAGTTCAGCCATCACGTGACCATCTTTCAACTGACTGAAGCTTAGGCATTGTTTAAGTACAGGACCCAAAGAACACAACAATTTTTAAAGAAAGTTGGATACATTTCAGTTAACTGTGAATAATGCTGTTCTGCAGCATCCTAGTCTGATGTTACTAAACACTTGAGCTTCATATATAAAAGATTCACTGCCACCCTTTTACTTGAGACTCTGCTGCTTTCGTGCAGTGGCTTGTGTTTAGGTCTGGGAAGCAAAATCAGCCACAATGGGTTGTCAGGTCGTGCTGCTTAGTAACACAGGAACAAGGTCAGCCAACAAACAGATTACATGAAACCTGGTGCTGTATGAAGCCGTTACAGCAGGGTGTATCTAAAATCACTCATTTGCCTTTCATCTGTATAGAAACTGTTTTTTTTAACCAAACAGGAATATTTGTTCCTGGCTTGAAATATTTTTACATTGACATTGCTTTTGTCAGACAAGCCCACTTCTAGCATCCTATTGTGAATAGCTATACCAAAATTACTCTTGAGAGCTTCTGCTTTTATACAGAAGTCTGTTTAGAAAATGTGAAACAGTTGGATTAAACTTTAACACTGAGTATCGCATAATAAGTGATGTATTTTCTTTGTCTCACCTCTCTTTTCCTCGTGTGCACATTCATGTGGTTGCCTTGTAGTAAACAGTGATTTTACAACTATATGCTGCCTTATTCTCAAATAACAGTTTCAAGAATACTGTAAATGTCTGTAGTGCGCAATGGTGTAAAGAAACCAATTGGCAACCCCAATGAGACTTTAGAGGTTGAGAACTGAGACTTAAATTAAAACAATGTGGAAAAAAATCAAATCCAAAAGACTGGATTGATATCAAGCAACAGCATTGAAAACAGGGATGAGGAATGTGGCTGTCACAAGTAGAGCTAAAGAAGAGATTAAAATGATTGAATACCAAAAAGGTGAAAGGGAAGAATATACATTATATGATAGAGGAGTACAGGAAAGAGAAGAAAAAATGGGATGAGGTGAAAAAAAGTTTTAGAGAAAATAAATAGATTGAGGAAAAAATGTGTGTGTAACGGAGGACATAAATACTTGGACATAAACAAAGGACAACTCTATATATACCAGAAATCATAGTGGTCAAGCTATGCTGTCTGTTAGGGCTAAGGGGACATATGAAGCCCAAGTCTGTAGTGTAAAAAGAAAAAAAGACTAAAAGAACTAAAATGCTGTCTAACTACAGCAGCTGCAAAATCTGCATAATTATTCACTTCACAGAAATCCTGGTAGAAATGTTAACAATTAGGATTTTCTTCCCAAATCTTTCATTGGCACATTGCGTGCATTTCCTTGCTTAAAAGGTCACTTCAAAAGATAACAGTGTTTTTAGAAAGCACAACAAAAGTCTGCACAGTTCAGATGGTTAACCTATGAGCACTTTTTGAATTATAGTATACAAGGCAAAAAACTGAGTTTGGACAATTCTAATGGGTTTGATAGTCAATATCTGCAGTGACCATCACAATTACAATCGATTTTATTAACATATCAAAGTTTTTTTAAGACTATCACTCGTTTTTTGTCCTCCACTTGTTCATTTTACTTATATTTTCTAAGGGCACACTGCTACAGGTTGCCAGTAACAAAGTGGCCAAAGTGAATGTGAAGTTATGTGAAGACACAACAGTGGCAAATCCCTTGAGTTAGGTATCTTTTTGGATGCTTTGATTAATCATAGGTGGCTTTACAATCAAACACAATCAGCATTCCTTTGAAAATGGACGGGTACAAAGACTGCACTGAATGTAAATGAAAAAGCCTCAATCCAAAGAAAAACCTTTAAAGACCTTCAGAAAGCCTGGAGAACTACTAAACTCTAGATCCTTGAAAAATGCAAGAATGTCTGGCTCCTTGGAAGCAAACTGGGAGGCTTAAGACAGTATGGACACTTATTATTAATGCAGTGTATGGCTATCCTGTCGTAAAGAATATATCACAAACAAAAGAACGAGCTATCGATCAGTGTTAATCAAGCGCACTCAGTCTCGATTCAAATATATTAATTATATTTTCAATATGATCTTTTCTCGCATGAAAAAATAAATGTAACACCCATCTGTTTAAACCATTACAGAAACTCTCTGGACACACACTCACACACATAAACACACACTAACATCATGGACTGACTGTAAAAAAAAAAGGATACCAAGCCAACCGTTGCCAGGCGACCAGCCATTTCACACACCTTCTCTCTGCCCTTATTTCAAATTGGATGAACAGCCAAGTCTCAGTCTTCAGGGTAGACACAAACAATGCAGGCACATTGCAGTGTGGCGCAGGTTATTCAAACAAGCAGACTAAGTCACCAGTGAATGCAATACGCAAACACAAAAAATACACTAGTCAACAAAAGCCGGCAAAACACAAAAACACAAATCCACATTTAGTTATTCTCATGACACAGACACAGAAGCCAGCGCTGAAAGACCCAAATAATAACAGATACAATGCTAATAGCTTTCAGAAGCAAACAAAGCCCCATCCTGAGATAAGCTATGGCGAGACACAGAATCCCTATAATAAACAAACTGTGGCTTTTGGAATTAAAGAGAAAACACAAATGTGCACGGGGACAGTTTGGCATCTGATAAATTTCATCAATTTTAATCCAAATCAGCCAGGGAATAGAAAACAGCAGACACACGCTGTCAAAGCCAACTTAGTCCCTGTAGATAAAGCTTTGCCATTAGTTTTGCTCATTTCAAAGTCTAAAACGTTAGAGCCAATGGCTCGTGAAAATTATGTGAGAGCAAAAACCTCGCTTAACCCCACAATAAAAACTATTCTCTTACCTGAATGACTTTGGAAACTATTTGTCTCCAGAGCTGTTTTCTATACACCTGCGACATGACAACTCCTGGTCTCTTCAAGCCAACCCGTGTATATCTTCTCTAAAACCTGCTATCACGTTCTCATCAGTATGTACACAGGGGAGACATATACTCTCACCCTCGAAGGGTTAGCACTATCAAGTTGTCAGTGGTGAGCGCTCAGCTAGCAGAGTTTGGGCTATACTTTCGTTATGTATTATGGCCACTGCCATCAGAAGTGTATGACTTTCCACAGCTAGGTGATGTCAGGGTAGACATGATCCCTTAAGAACAGTAAAATGCCTGCTTTATTCTGACATTCTAGTTCAAGCAATATGTCAAAATGTTAAGAGGCGCTTGACTTAAAAGCACAGGCAATTTGAGAGCTTTATGAGATGGGGCTTCATACCCTCGCTTTTAGGCTGAAATTCCCATAGATGGAGTGATGCTCAGAAAGGAAAAACTCACAGCTCTGTCTGCACATGTGTAGTGTACGCTAATGAACTACCATAAAGGAATGCAAACACAGATGCACAAGGGTCAAACACTGAGGGAATCGCTGGCTCACAGGATTAGCAGCACACCAGGACGAAGCTGTTAGCATTCACTATAATGTAACAGTGCAAATAAGTGCTTGGCAGTGAATTCTGTGTTAAGCTCATGGACATTCTCACCAAATCGCATAGATGAAGCAGTAATTAAAGATTCTGAGCTCCAGATGAAATTTTGACAAAAAGTAGCAGTATAGATTACAGGGACAACGAATTCAGTGGATTTTAAAAGGTAAGTTTTTTGGTTTTTTTTACAGCAACAGTCACAATAAGTCTAAATTCTGTTTCCGTCCAGTTTGCCGCAGCAAACCTTTCTGCTTGCTTGGATGCAATTTTTGTACTCATTTCAAAAACAGATCAGCTTTGTTTGTCTAAATTTTATATATGTTTTATTTGTATAATCAGCTACCTAACACCCAATCATGTTAAAAGTTGAAAATAAACAAATAAACAAATAAACAAATAAAAATATGTGATGTCGCATTATGATTTTGATCATTTCCACTTAGTGAATGCATTTTTTTTGTCTGTATCTGCAGTGTCGTGTTAACGGCTTCTCTGGATGCTAACACGGGTGTTAAAATTGGGATTTATCATTGCAACATCATGACATACATTTTAAATAAATGTAATCTTGTGTCCAGCAGTTTGTGTTGTGTTTTTTCTGAATTTTTTTTCAGAATTACTTCTACACTTGTTTTATCATTTTATGACACATTTGCCAAACTTATTTTAGGCTTTCTGCCATATAAAACCAGGCCTTCCTGAACAGAAACCCACTAAAATGCCTTTAAAATTGCTTTCACAACTGCATGGTTTGTGTCGCTTAAGCTTTCCGCCACATGCACGCTCCAAACACATTAGCTGTTTACTAAATCCCGACACATTAATGATGAATTGCATTTGGCAAAGTTGATAGTCAAGAAGCTCAAGTCATCTGTAACTTCAGAACTCTTGGGTCACCTTACCTTGTTTTGATAGTCTGGCTTGAAATGCAGCATAGTCGCTGTCGGCCTTTCACGCTGACACTTCTTTTCAAGTCATTCCACCCTCTTACTTGTCTGCTTTTTTCATGACATCAGAGAGTTAAAGCTTCCAACAAAGAAGACAAGACAGCGAACAAGTGGCTGCGCTACACTGTGTGAGCAATCAGCCTTCCTGTTTGTCATGTGAGAAAGGTTGCTGCCCTGAAATTATCAGACTGTTTCTCCTAAAAGGGTACTGCTAACTAGATAATGCGGTGTTGGATGACCTCCTGTCAGCAGGGTAATTATCAAGGTCCAACTCTCACCTTACAAGTCTGTTACAACAATAGGATGAAAGATGGAGGGTGGTGGGTGGGGGGTGGAATGAAAAGGTTGCATAATACATCATTAGAGGGAGATAGTATCAGGTACAACCTTTAAAAAAAATACAGAAACAAAAGTGAGTAAAAAATAAATGTTGCATCATTGTAGCACAAATGGCTCTATTAGAGAATGTGTTATGCTCCTCTTAAAGGAAAAAATGTGGCGAGTCATTCGATATAGCCAGTAGTGTAATTTAACAGGCAATTGCACCCAAGTGCTACAAAACACTAGAAATTAAATTAACATGGAAATTCAGTTTAAGCAAGAGTAAAACTTGATGCTTATAGGAAAGGAAGCCGATGCAAGGTCATCACCTGGATCAGCACTTTAACAGTATAGGATTGAACTCAATACCATGTCCGCTGTGTGAAGCAGAACATGATTATCATTAAATTGCCTAACAGATTAATTGGTTGACTCATTGTGCCTGATATGTGGCAGTGTGATGCTTAAAAAAATCTGCTATTCAATCAGTTGTTATGTTAGCAGATCCCTTGAACTCCATTGTCTAAGTCTGCTTGGAGCGGCACTGATCAGACAGTTATGAGGTGAGGAGGAATCCCCACGCTAGAGAGATTTATTGTCATGATCAGGCTGTGTGGAGGCAGGAGAGGACCCAAACGCAAACTCGCTGGAAAACAGGACTGAACTCATAAATACACAGAGGGTTAATGAGGGAAGTGGGAGCACACGGGGAACACAGGTGACGCTGATAATCATAACAAGACACGGCAGGAGTAAATGCAACACTGACGGGAGACTGTCAAAGCAAAACAGGAAGTACACAGAGGTTCAGACAGAAGGAGAGAGAGCACGGACATAACCTGGGGAAAACATGGAATAAAACACAAAGAGGGGAAACAAGGGTTCACAGATACACAGAGGGGCACACAGGGGGCAACCAAATAAGGAACATCTTAACTAAACAACCTAGGAACCAAGGCATAAATAAAGAACAAAATACAAAACACACGAAAACTAAGAATATTGGGCCAACATGGCCCAGGACCATGACATTTATTTTTTAAACATTTTCTTGTTCTTGCTTCTGAAATGTGAGATTGTGCTGCTTCTTTCCATGTCACTGCAAACTTAAATAGCTTTTGTGACATTTTACAATCCACTGAATAATCAGGAAAAACAATAGATTAGAACCTAATGAGATTAAGCATGCACTACCCCTGGGGTAATCCTAATTATTTACCTAGAGAGCACATATGCATGTGCACAAGTGCATACACCACCCCACCGTCGCCACCAATTAATATTCAGTTTTGTTGCTTTTTACAGTCGCATCTTGCCGATGAGAGGCACATCCCTCTCCATGAGCATTTGACTGTTAGTCAGATAGTGAAGAAATGGTTGCAAAGCTTTGCATTACAGAGTGGGTCGGCCATCAATTTTTCACTATTCCATGGCTGATTTTCTGTGTGGAACTGCCTGGTTGTGAGTGGCCATGAAACATGAGAGTGACTGTAAATTATAAATGAGGAGGTGGTGAGATCTGAAAACACAGACAGACAAGAGTTCACAGTTTTTCACAGCGACTGCTCACACTGACAGAAGCACAGACAGCTTAAGCAAATATATTTAAGAAAGATGTGGCTCATAAATGTCATGCCTAATGCACTTTATTCTCCTTTTGTGGACCACGGTGTCTCTTTGCATTTGGTTCGCTGGGTCCAATGCCGAAAACTGACTCTAATGAACTGACATTGCTTCATCTGGCCCGTGTTTTCGCACAATGCAGGAATGCCTCAGCCAATTCTATTTCATTACGGTCAGTATTGTAGAAAAATAAGCAAGAAACTGGAGTATTTTGCATGAAGGCAGTGGGTCTGACACACAGACATAGAGTGCAGGGGGCTTTAGTTACTATTGCTCATGTCTATTGCATACTAATTAAACATGTACTTGGTTTAAAGTGCCATATTTAGTGCTGCACTGCTATTGGGAGGCAAAGAAGCATAGCTATTTAACATTTCTAAAATGTGTGAAAGGCTGTGCTTTGACTAAAGGCAGAAGACCAATTAACATGGAAAGGGGTTATGTAGATTAAAGTTTAAAAGTTTATAAAACTAACTAATAAAATGAACTATTATAACTTCCATCCTGGCCTAATCTGACCCTCTTAGCACCTACAAGCGAAAGGAGATTTTTAAAAGTATTGTGTCACAGAGCCCACAAAGACCAGTCACTGTAATAATGACAGAGTTCCACATGAATGACAGAAGCTGGATACTCACTGCTCATTTCAAGTTTACTGTTCAGCTGTCTTTGGGCAACACCATCCAGCCTCCTGCAGCAAAGCCAATAAGACAGCAGCAACACTATGAACACCCCGCCATCTGGTGGGCTGGGGCTGACAATACAATCAACCACACATTACAGTAGGTTGTGCCACAGCTATCTTTGCCTGCTGTTAGGCCAGAGAATCTAATAGTGCAGTGAGTCTCTGAGTAATTTTCCGAAGGGCTTAGAGAGCTCCTGAGGTGAAAATGAAGCGCAAATTAATCCCATCATTGTCTTTTTTTCTCCCCTCTCTCACAAGAGAACGGCTTTTCTGGTGTTGCACTCTTGCAGCTCATTATCTTGTTGGGTTAGCTACATCTTCCTGTGCTCAATTACTGCAGTATTATATCAACGCTCACTTTTCAATTAATTACAGAATAAAATTGAAAAATAATCATATATTGAAAATATGGTAATGAAATCCCAGTAGATAATCTCTTGCACTGACAAATTTCCCTTTAGGGCAAAGTTAAAGTGTTGCTGGGTACTGAAATTGAATTTAAAAATCTCTTTGATTCGTGACAATATCGGATATTTTGCACTATATAGCAACTACACAAGATGTAAAATAAATAAAATGCATATCTGCATATGCATAATACAAAACAAAAAAGGTTACCAAAAGTCGAAAGGAAAAATTGGTGTCCTGATTCTAGGATACAGGCTGAATGAAGGCAAAATCGTCTCACTTACCGGAGTAAGAATCCGGAGATACTGAAGACATAATTTACAAAACAAAAAGTCTAAAGAATCAACGACATATATTTTATAGTTTAAAGAAAATTAAACTATTGTTTTTGTATAATTTACCTGTTTAGAATACCATTAATTGTGCAACACGCAAACCAAAAAATAAACCCACACATATAAATAACAATGGTAGCTTTAAGAAACACAGAACATTAAGGGCAACTAGGAGACTTAGCTCACAGAACTATAAATAAATACAAAAAAAAAAAAAGAGTTGTAGACACTTTTGAGAGCATTTGGGATCAAACCTGCATTTCCTTGAGTGACTCCACAGCCACGGAAGGCTGGGTGGGTCTGTTCCTGTAGCTCACTTTAGCGATCCTGGCGCTGAAGGACATGGCTCCAGCATTCCTTCATGGACAGGCCTCCTCAGTAACTCCGTTTTATATCAAAAGCTTCATTTGGACCAAAGCAAAGGCGTTTTACACCATTATGTTTTGGTGTACAATTTCTAGTGATTTAGTTGACGCTCTCACTTTCCACGAAGGCCCCTCGTGTTGTTACTGGTTTCCAAGGTAACGAGGTATTTGTAAAAGGGGGCAAAGGGAGAGAGGGCTGGTCTTTAAAAAAAAATGTGGACCACTTATTGGCTATTTTGTTGCAGGTGTTTCACATTACAGCCAGCAGCGGATTAAAGGGGCCATGGAATTATCTAGTGGACTTCCTGTCACGGGGTAACCACGCAGATATAAACATGCACTACATGAGCCAAAGTAGAGGGCCACCTACAAACTGATAGGAACTGCTCATGTCCGGTGACCCATGTCCATGTCTCCTCTGGTATTAACATAAAACTGTTTGGAAATCTGCAGTTACTGAGTCAGCAGTGTGGGACACTTTTACGCACAAAACGTTGACGATTTAATAGCAGATTTTAAAATGAAAGAGAAAATCTTCTCATGTATAACGCTGTGTTATTGCTGATAAGCAGGTTGATCTGAAGTGCCCCTCTTATAAATTCAGCTGGCTGATTCATGCATTCCAGTGATTGAGAAGCAGTTGTCCAATGCATGGGCTGCTGTGCGTTTGGATCTGAGGTCTTTTTTTTATGTAACATTACCACCTGCTGTTCAATCCTGTGAACTGCAACGTGAGGTTGAAAACTCTCCCTCTTTCACAAATAAGCGTTATGCGTTCACTGGCCTATGTGCTTTTAAATTTTTTAATGACATGATCGAAAATCATTCCCAGTCTGACCATGTAGTCTTCAGACTATGGCAAACCAACACAACATTACAGATGATTTAAGATGCCAGATTTAAATAGTTTCCTCCATTCGACACTATTTCCCGACTGTACCACTTAACATCGGTATTTAATATGGAATAATTACAAAATGCAACAGCAGAAAATCTGGTCAGTTTAAACAAACAATTACTAAATATTTCCATACAGTAGGTTCCTAAGAAAATGTCTGTTTTGATGACTGTTTTTTTTTTTCTTCCTTCCAGCTTGTTGCCCCTCTTTTATCCACATTTGCAAATCTCTGAAGAGGAGGGGAGACAGTCCTCTTTCATTTACTGAGATCAACAGCAGGCTTTTTGGAGTTTAAGAGTAAGTAATTCTACAGTTTCATGGGCTCCTGAAAAATGAAAGTACTGAGCCACAGCACAATCCACTGCTGTGCAATGATATGCTTTAACTTTGCGATGCTCGAAGCCTTTAAAATCAAGTTAAAACTGAAAGTTATCTTCCAATTTACTCACAGCATAAATACTTCAGCGTGGGTTTGAGCTGTCTTTCGAGGAAGCATCATGCCCAAAACAAAAGAAATCAGTTTAGACTTGAGAAAAAGAATTGCTTATGCTCACAAAGCAGGAGTTGGATGTACAAAGTTATCACAGGATTTCCAAATGTCAAGAACTGGAGTGGGAAGTATCATCAAGAAATTTAAAGAGCGCCCCACAGTACAGAACAACCCTGGCAGAGGCAAGAAGCAAAAGATTTCCAAGACTCTGTGAAGAAAACTAATGAGAAATATGTCTAAGGCATCTAAATGTGTCTAATGAGAATAACTGCAAAGACACCAGTCAATGACTTTGTCACATCAGGAATTGTAGTCTCAGAGAAGAAAACCACTGCACAGGAATTGACTGTGAGACTGCAGACCAAGAAAATCTCCACTTCTGCAGACATCTTTAAGCCAGACTGATGTGTGCTAAGGACAAACTGGAGAAAGAGTATGCATACTGGAATTCTGTCCTTTGGTCAGATGAGACCAAACTAGAGCTCTTTGGCTTATGATGCTGCATATGTTTGGTGAAACACAGTGGTGGGAGTATTTCCCTTACATATTAAGTGTCCTGAGGTGACTGTTGTTGTGATGTGGTCCAGTATAAATAACACTGAATTGAATTTTGGGGATGCTTCAGTGCACCAGGAACTGGAAATCTCATCAAAGTGGAAGAAACCGTGAAAAAAGAAGGACAGCTGGAAAGAAAACTTCAAGCAGTCATCAGCAAAGCTCAGTCTGGGTCTTCCTTTTGTCTTCCAACATGAAAACGATTTAAAACATAATTCGATCCTGGTGAAGAACTTACCTCCAAAGCGACCAAAGTGAACGTTACTGATTAGTCTACACCAAGCCCTGATTTTGATCCCATTAAAATGGGTGGGGTGAACTGAAAACCAAGGTCCATGTTAGAAGAACATCAGATCTGGAAAAGCTTTAGAGATTTGCCAAAGAAGAATGGGCCAGCATTGCTCGGGACACGTGTGTGAGATAACGACACTGCAGGCTTTTATCCAGAATACACAATTTTCTATTAGCATCAGGAGAATTAATCATTTTGACTGTGGTAGTTTTTTTGTTTTTTTTTGTGAAATAATTTAGTTTCTTTGTGCAAAGTGAAACAATGTGAAAAAATGAAATTAGGATGTTTGGAAAAGTTTTGTTAAAAATGCTGTTCTCTGTTTAAAAGCACTTGGGAAATACTTAAAAAAAAAGGAAATTTTCATGAGGGGCAGGGCTAACAATTTTATCCTCATTTGTAGATGATCAGACACGTGTTTCACACTAAACAGGCTCCAGTAAAATCTGGTGCTCTGAATCCTTTTCATTCCTCTTTTGTTTAGTGAGACGTACTTTTGAGGTTGAAATAGACACACTTTAATATCATGCCCCCTTTGCAGTGTCATCTGTACTTTTTCATGATTTACTGCTAAGAACCAGTGTGTGTGTGTGTGTGTGTGTGTGTGTGTTTGTGTGCGTGCATGCGTGCGTGTATATTTGAATGCCTGCCTCTTTTTACTGTCCCTCCAAAGTGTTGATTTGTCAACTTTCCTCCCTTTTGTAACTGATCTTATGGATTTCCCACCCATTAAATCAACGACTGCTCTCTCCATTACTTCAAGGGATGTTGAGCCCCAGGCTGTCTTCCTTTTGTAGTTTCTTGTCCTGATAGCTTTTCTGCAATGTCTAACATGTTAAACCATCAAAGACTACAAGTAGAAATATATATATGATTATAATCTGCTGTAAAAAGCATCTTGTGGTTCCCATCGCAGAATGATTTGTTGTATTTGCTCAGTACCCTAGTCAGGTCTTCACTAGTATAAAATGTATACACGTCTGAATATTTAAATAATAAATGATGCACTGATTTAAGACATATGTGTCAAAGTGCTGTGAAGTAATCATTTATAATAGAACCATTCTTAATCATTTTCAGCAGAGGTGTGATGATTCTAATCATACATCTTTTACTTCCAGATGAAAATGTCATGATCTCCAAAGCCATCTATGATGCAGCATGAAATTTCTGACAGCATGTTAACCTGCAAGGTAAATGCAGTGCAATCAAAGATAAGATAAGATAAGATAAGATAAGATAACCTTTATTAGTCCCACATGTGGGAAATTTGTGGGAAAAAAGGGAGGGAGGAACAGCTGCAGAAAGACAAGGTTTTCTTTCCACTTGATCAAAAACAAAGCTCAGCAGTTTCTTTCCTGTACTGTGCTTACGACTCTTATTTTGTAGTCTTTATTATCAAAACTGAAAGATACTGTAGCGGTGATGCATGGATGGTCATAAAAATATACTTGGTCTTATGCACTACAACTTTAATGTAACTGACACTGTTCACATCTCCAGTGTTTTAAGAACCTTAATCTCCCTATAATGCCAGACGTGTTAAAACCAATCATCAATTGGGAGTGATCACTCCATGAAACAGGTTATTGTGTATCTTGTCATACGTGAGCCTTTTCTTTCCGTTTGCCTTCCTTAAGCATGGTTTTTTTGACAGCCATCCTTCCACTGAAAATATTTCTGATGAGGCTTCTGTGAACAGTAGATGGATCAACTTTGCTGGACACAAGATTGGATCATCCCTTGAGTTAGCTGCCTTGTTATGCTTGAGTAATTTATAGGTCAGTGTTAAGTAGTTTAACAAACAAACAAAACAATAAAGAAAAAACAACATCAAGCACAAAGAATGGATTTAAAAAGGAAGTCATTGTCCAAAGAAAACTTTGAAAACCATTCCTAATGCCCGGAAAACTATTTCTCAAAATCATTTTAAAAATTACATTAAATGACTGGCTTCTTGAAAGCAAAGTATAACAAAAGACGAAGTGGGTGTTTCTCTTCAGTCCAGCTTTGTCCAGCTACTGGTAGGATTTCTAGATATCAGCCACTTCCTCTATCTGCCGGTGGTACATACCATGGAGGGGCCTGACCTTCCATGATGGCTCCTAATCTTGGTCTTCTTTCTTGAGTTTCTTCTGCCTGAGATATTCACTGAGCACGCAGCTGGTCGCGGCCATCTTCCTGACGTACTCGTGAATGTTCGTTGTCTCATCCAGGACTGTGGTACTGTGTGTTGTACTCCAACCTGTACCTGGGATGCTTTGGTTTCAGAACTGAAGAAGCCTCTTGGATGAGAGGTGCAATGTCTTCACGAAACTTAAAGAAGTCCAGTCACTTTCTTTCCAAGCTCTTTGACCTGGATGACTGAGGATCTTGACAGACAACATACAGGAACTTGCACCAAGATGTAAGTGATCTGGATGAGTAACAAGACCAGCAAGTCTAGCATAGAAATTAGTGTAATCTTTGCTCCATTTCTGGCCTCCAGAGTAGGACGTACACTTGTAGATCAACTGTTTTATTGCAATGTTTGATATTTTTAATGTCATTGTCGGTAGGCTCTCCAGTTGTGCACAAAAGGTGGAAGGATGTGCTTGTTGTTCTGCCTTTTTTGGTGTGTACGTGTGCGTGTGTGTGTGCCAAGTAACATACTGCAGGGATTCACTCTCCCACAGATTGACACTGGTCTTCAGTGTAAGCAGAGAGAAGAAATCAATAATATCAGTTATACTCTTGGTATAGGTCAA